AATCTGAATGAATTCCAAGAGAATATATAGCTAAATGAGAAAAGGAAGTCACTGCAGGACATAAAAATGGAATTCGATTAAGAGAAATACTGAAAATGAGAAATTCAAGTCTTACCAATAAATGAATCACGGTGAAGACAGAATCAGCTTGTAGACAAGGTAGAGGAATTGGTATACTTATTCAAGGACAGCAATAAATATTTTTAAATGTATGAATGGCATATAAAAGGAAAAAATGGAAGCTATGAGTTACAGACATAAGAGAAATCCATCACAAAGATAATATAATTATATATATTTAATGTAATATATGTATAATAATTCAATATAATTATAGCAGAAAATTTCCCAAATCTAAGGAAAGAGACATAACCAAGCTCGAGGCTTACGGAACACCAAATAGAATCAGAAAAGAAATGACCACGTATTATGGTTAAAACACTGAATATACAAAACAAAGAAGGGGTATCAAGAGCCTATGAGAAAAAACCACCAGGGCACATATAAAAGCAAGCTCATTAGAATAATAGCTTAGTTTTCAACAGAAACATTAAAAGTCCAAAAGGTATGGAATGTATTTCAGGTTCTGAGAGACCATAGCTGCCAACCCAGACTACTATACCCAGGAAAACTATCTTATGGAGAACTATATAAAGAAGAAACAAGAACATTGCATGATAAAAGAAGACTAATGGAATTCACGACCACTAAGCCAGCTCTTCAGAGGATACTGAGAGAGAAACTCTTCAGTCTGTGTGGAATGATACACATTAAAGAGAAAACAGGAGGGAAAGTAAAAGATGCTACAGCAATAGATAAACAAATGAGGATTTTGGGAGCACACTTTATAAAGTCAGCTAAGTGACAGATTAATACGCTCCTGAACATTCATGGTTTCAGTTGCCCAATCAAAAAGACTAGCAGATGTGTATTTAAAAAAAAGAAAAAGGATCCCCTATATGCTGCCTCCAGGCACCACACCTCCATCAAGAATGGAGCTTATCTTAGGATGAAAGGACGAGGAAACGGTATTCAAAGCAAATGGAGTTAGGAAACAAGTAGACATTGCTATTCTAATATCTGACAAAATAAACTTTAAAACTATTTTTATAGTTTTAAAACTTGTCATCAAAGAGACAAAGGAAGTCACTTTGTACTGATTACAGGAACAATTGTTCTAGACATTACAGTTCTAAACAAATGCACTGAACACAGGTGAGCCCAAATTCATAAAGGGAACACTGCTAGATATAAACTCATAGACTATGAAAAACTGAGAAACATTGTGGTTATATGACATCATAGATCAAATGGGTTTAACAGATTAGAACATTCCATCCACATGATATAGGATGCACTTTCTCAGCAGCCTGTAGAACTTTCTCTTAAATAGAGAGGTCATATATTAGGGTACAAAGCAAGTTTGAACAAATACAGAAATATTGAAATAACTTTGTATTCTATTTGATTATAATGGAGTACAAGCTAGAAAGCAACAGAAACTACAGAAAATTTACAAAGTAGAAATGAAAACTATCCATTATGAGTGAGTGAGTTTCTGAAAAGAAAATTTTTAAAAATTTCTAATGTTGAATGAAAATGAGGATAGAACATACCAAAACCTATGGCATACAACAAAAGTAGCCTTAAGAGAACATCTGTTACTCCTGCAAGGCTCAGGACACTGGGGAGGAAGGGAACAGAAGGGATGTGAGAACTGGAGGAAGGAGTGAGGGAGCAGTGTGGAATGCTGTCTTCAGGCATGGCATGACCGTAGCATTGCTGAACTCACAGCAGCTGTGATTATTTGCTCGAGTTTGGGCCCATAAACACTGTCATAAAAGGGAAGGGTTCACAGGGCTCCTCCTTTCCCTGTGGATTTATCTATAGTTAATGATTGATGGGATAGACATTTTCTTCAGTAGTGTAACCAGTGGCAATGTCTCCATGCCCTTGTAAACAAACCCATGTTCATGTAAAAAACAAAACAAAAACCTAATAAAACTCATTGGAAAGAAAGAAACCAAGACAGTTCTTTTTAAAGTCTTGTTTTGTGTATGTCTGGGGGTCATTGTGTGCCATGACACACTTGTGTAGGCCAGGGGACAGTTTTGCAAAGACAGTTTGTTTCCTCCACCTTTTTTTTTTTTTTTTTTTTTTTTTTTTTTTTTTTTTTTTTTTTTTGGTTTTTCGAGACAGGGTTTCTCTGTGTAGCTTTGCGCCTTTCCTGGAACTCACTTTGGAGACCAGGCTGGCCTCGAACTCACAGAGATCCGCCTGGCTCTGCCTCCCGAGTGCTGGGATTAAAGGCGTGCGCCACCACCGCCCGGCGTTTCCTCCACCTTTACATGGATTCTGGGTACCAAACTCAAATCACCAGGCTTGGACAGCAAGTGCTTTGCCAGCTCAGCACTCTTGCTGGCCCTACAATATTATTTCTATTAGTCATTTATTTATGACTAATTTATGAATTAACAGGTTATCACGGGATCTAATAAAATTCACCTTTAATCTTAGCACTTGAGAGGCAGAGGCAAGCCAGCCTTGTCTACATAGAGAGTTCCAGGCCATCTAGAGCTACATAGTGAGACTCTCAAAAAACAAAAACTTTCATTTCTAAACAGTAAAAGCAGTTCTTAAATTACTCAGAAAAATGAAGTAAAATTTGTGGATAACTTTGAAAATTGTCTTAGATTGGGTTACTGTTGCTATGATGAAACACCATGACCAAAGCAAGTTGGAGAGGAAAGGCTTTTACTTGGCTTATGCTTCTGAAGCTATAGTCCGTTACTGAAGGGAGTTAGGGCAGGAATTCACACAGGGCAGGACCCTGGAGGCAAGAGCTGATGCAGAGGCCATGGAAGGGTACTGCTTACTGCCTTGCTCCTCATGGGCTGGGTCTTCCCCCATCAATCACTAAGAAAACTCCCTACAGACTTGACTACAGTCCCATCTTAGGGAATTATTTTCTTAAATGAGGTTCCCCCCTCTCAGTTGACTTTAGCTTGTGTCAAGTTGACATAATACTACCTCCCCCCACCAAAAAAAATTTTGCTTTCTTCCTTGTTTTCCCTCTTGGTCTCTCCTGGGAGTCTTTGGGACGTTCAAAACTATGTAGTTGGCTAACTCTGGAAAACACCAAGTAAAGTGTGTTGTATCAAAAGCCCTGTGACTCAGAAATTACAGTCAGACAGTAAGTCCCAGATTTCCCTTAGTTGTCAAGCTTGCTTTGCCTCACAGAAAATGATAGATTCAAATTTTGATTATGGAAATGGTGGGAACAACACTGAAATCAGTTGCTTAAGAAGCAGATGTATCCACATTTGGGTTGAAAGGGTATTATTAATTTTGGTCAAAGGGTATTATTAATGATCAATTAAAGATGTATTCTGTGTCTTACATACTTCGCTTTCTAAGCTATTAGATGTTTCAAATATTTTCTGCTTCAAAGATAAGAATGCATCAAATGTGCACAAAATCAGACTGGCTAGATAGTAGGTAAATTGAACCCTTGGAAGGGTTTTGTTCTCAAATAAATCCAGCTGACATGCGCTGACTCAGAAGAACAAAGTACATACTGCATTAATACTGATGGGTTCATTAGTAGTCATCTAAGCACTGCCACGTTAATTCTTGGTTTTGCATATTAATGTGAAGGTCAGGTGGATAGAGAGTGAGTAGAACTTTCAACAAGGTATGTTCAAAGTTGATGGGGTTGTTTGTTTTCTGGGGGGGATTGTTAACTCATAGTTGTGGTAGTTTTATTTTTTCAAATTATGTGATTTATATATGCATATAATAAAATGGGACCTAAAGGAAACCATGCCATAAAAATAGTCAAGTTGTTCGTTATCAAATAACACCTTTAATTATTAGGTCATTGTTTGTCCAAAGAATAGATGCCAGTTGAGAATCCCTGAGCTGGCTCCTTGCTTTAAAGTTTGGCTGCTCCTTCCTGGAGCTCATGCCACCAGTGGGGACAGTGAAAGAAAGAATGGACTGTCTAATAATAGGAAGAGCTCTGCTGCAGAACAGGCAGCCTTATCCCCTCTACTGCCTTGTCACACATGTGCTTTGGGACCTTTTGCATATATTCTACACCTCACATGTCTTTTTTCCGTGAACTCTGGATTCAGCCCCTCCCTGAAGTTCAGTGCGGTTAGGACAGAACTGTTTTCCGCCAAGCCTAGTGACCCGGCTTGGACCCCCATAGTCCACATGGAAGACGCTGAGACCCGGCCCCAGCATGTTGTCCTCTCACCTCCACAATGATAAAGGTAAAAAAAAATTTAGCTGGGCGGTGGTGGCGCACGCCTTTAATCCCAGCACTCGGGAGGCAGAGGCAGGCGGATCTCTGTGAGTTCGAGGCCAGCCTGGTCTACAGCGCGAGATCCAGGAAAGGCGCAAAGCTACACAGAGAAACCCTGTCTCGAAAAAACAAAAAAACAAAAAAAAAAAAATTTAAATATGGATTTGGAGAGATGGCTCGGCAGTTAAGACTTGCTGCTCTTACAGAAGACTCGGGTTTGATTTTTCAGCACCTACATGGTTGGTCACAACCCATTTACATAAAATTTTAAAAATTAACAGGTCCAAGAAAAGTCTACACCTTCATTTCATAGGTTAGGAAAATAATAGAGCGGGGTGTGGAGATATGTGCACTGGGCCTCAGTCGGGAGCATTTTCTGTCATCACCAACGGTACAGTGGACCATTTAAGGGGAGGGCCAGGTCCTCAATTCCGACCCACAACACGCCATCTGGAGGACTGAAATCTGTTTCCCAGCTCTAGTTCAAACTACTAATTAAGTGAGATACTTGGGAACATAAGGAGGCCCCCGTACTTCAAAACTATTTCAGAAATTCTTGTTTGTAGCCAAAGGTGGCAACCGCTAAATTAGCTTTTGGCTGTAATCTCAACACGCAGGAGGCAGAGGCAGGAGGATTATCGCAAGCTGGATGCCAGCCTGGTGTACATAACGAGTTCTAGGCCAGCCAGAATACCCCTTCCAAATGTTAAATGTTTTATTTTTCATTCATAACAGTTTATAACATACTACTTGTGTTTTCATTTTGTAAATATATGAACATACTGATGATACTAGTGAAAAAGTAACGGCGGGGTTGAGGAGGTGAGAGGGTGGCGCACTCCTGTAATTCCAGCACTCAGGAGGTGGTAGCAGCACGATCAGTAGTAGCACAAGGCCAGCCTAGGCTACATGAGATCCTGTTTCGAAAGAGAAAATAAGAACACCTCTTTACAAGTAATGGCACCGAAAAAAATCGCACTTGTTTTGTAGAATCACTTTCCAACGCCAAGCGTCCGAGAACTGTCCCCAAACTTGACTCCCGCTTTTGACGTGCAAAGGCGTGCGCAACTTCAGCAGCTCAGCGAGCCTTCCCCACTTGGCAGGAGTCCGCCCCCGCGGCCCCGCCCCTGACTCCGCCCCTGACTCCGCCCCTCCCTCCTCCGGCCCCGCCCCTGCCCGCGGCCCCGCCCCTCCCATTCCTCCACGCCCTCACCTCCCGCCGCCCGGCGCCCGGTGTTGTCCAAGATGGAGGGTGCCCTATCGGCGCCGCTGCCCGTCCGGCTGCTGCTGTTGGTGGCGCTGCCAGCCGTGGGGTGGCTGACCACCAGCGCGCCCAGGCCACCGTCCACAGCCCCGCAGGTAGGGCAGGGCGGGCGCAGCGGGACGCTCCTCCGCGGACCTCCGGGAGGCCGGTCGCGGTGGCGCTGTCCCCTCCCGTAGGCGGACAGGCCGGGGCCGGGCTGGACAGGGTCTGGGCACCCGGAGGCTAGAAGGGGAGGCTCTCCGGGATGCCGGGCGGGGTGGGCCGCCCGAAGGAGAACGCGAGGAAGGCGCGCAGGCGCCCTGGAGTGTGGGGCCAAGCCTACAGCCAGCGAACTTGAGATTCGTAGCGCTTCCCGAACTGTCGCGGTCCTGCCTGGCTTGGCTGCCGAAAGTTGCGCGATCGCCAGTGACCTCGGGTGTTTGTTATGGCTGCTTCCTGGGATAGAGCCCGGCCCTTGGGCCTGACGGCGTTTGTGCTGCCGGTTAGCAGCTTTCCTGGCCACCTGTGTCTGCTCCGCAGAGACCGGGAGGGGAGCGCCTTTCCCCGGCCGCCGGGCCACTCGGGCTGGCGATCGGGAGAGGCAGAAGACCTCGCGTTTCCCGGCGTGGCTTTTTATTGGATGTTAGTTGAGGGGTCCTCCCTGCGTCACGGGTCGGAGATGAGCCTCAGCATCCCCGGGGAACAGGATTCAGTCCCTCGGTGTCACAAGCCTTGCAGGTGACTGTACCTGGCTGACTCGGAGGACCATGGCACCCCATGTTTACTTTTGTTGCCGCGACATTTGCCTTTCTTCGTTTGTATAGTCGGAAGAAAGTTTGGAGAGTATAAAGTTCGAGTTTTCCCCAAATGACATGAAACTTACGAGTTTGAACACCTTACTATTTTGGTGGGAACACAGTAAATATAGAAGTGACTTACATGATAAATGCCACTTTTTATTTTTAAAAAATTTACTTGTTATGTGTGTATGATGTTGGATCGGGGACATATGCCACAGAAGTGGAGGTCAGAGGACAACCTTGTGGAGTCGGTGTTCCCCACGGTCATCCCGTTTTGCAATAAGTGCTTTTATAATAACCCTTGAGTCATCTGTCCAGTCCTTCATTTTACTTGTAATGTTTTAGAGTTATGCTATAACTCCTCTGGGTACAGAAATTTCAAACAAGCCTCAGGGTCAGTTTGGACACACTCTGGATATTTCGACTTAAACACACTTATATATGAGGTTGTACGTGAGCCACAGTTGCTTCTGGGTAAAAAGCAATGGTATGAACAAGCACCAGGAATAAATATGGGGTGGTTTTAAAGTTATGGAGGTATGGACTTACTTCCTCTCTTTGACAGTTTTGAAGATTCTTCATCATCACTTATGAACCTAAGAAGCATTTGGAACTTACCCACACAGTCAGAAAAAAAAAAAATCTTACCTGCAAGGTCAAGCCCACAGCATTGTGGGCTAGCTCCTAGTGACTTCACCATTTTCTCTCTCCCTTTCTAGGTCTTTCGGAAAGCAGGCAAAACACCCATGCACATAAAACAAAAATAAGGGTTAAAAAAACTTTTTTTAAGTTCTCAGAGGAAGAGCTGTGAGCTGGATCTGAATTTAATGTCAGATGAAAGTAAGAAATGGAATTCTCTTTTTTCAATGAAAGCATTCAAGAACATCAAAACAAATTGTGTGTATATGAATATATGCATATGAAATCATTCAAGAGTATCAAAAAAGATTGGTGTATGCATACATGCATTCATTCGTGCACAGATGCACCACACTCACAAGCGTATGCTTGTGTGTGTGCTAGAGATTGAGCCCAGGGTCTTGAACCTTCTTAGGCTCCACCATTGAGGTATGCCTCCATATCTGTAGGAAAAGAATTGAACTTGGTTTTTTTGAGGAAAAAAGCAAAGCAAAACACACCTGTGTCTTTCATCTTTTATAAACCATGATGTTGCTAAGCAAACGATAAGATATTTAATTCAGTAAGTAAATATACACTAAGTATGGTGTATATTTACTCTTGAAAAGCAGAAGCTGTAGAAGATTCTCAAACAAGGCTTTTTATGGGCTTGTAGAAGAATAATGGCTTCTGATTAGCAGATCCTCCCATGATGGGTGAGGGCACAGCCAGAGGAGCGGGAAGCACCTGGTAGAGCTCACCTGCGGTCAGGAAACAGGTGAAGACACAGGAAGAGGAGCGGGAAGCACCTGGTAGAGCACATCTGCATCAGGAAACAGGTGAAGACACAGGAAGAGTGGGAAGCACCTGGTAGAGCACACCTGCATCAGGAAACAGGTGAAGACACAGGAAGAGGAGCTGGAAGCACCTGGTAGAGCACACCTGCGGTCAGGAAACAGGTGAAGATACAGCCAGAGGAGTGGGAAGCACCTGGTAGAGCGCACCTGCATCAGGAAACAGGATAGCTGGTGTTCAGCTGGCTTTCTCCCAATTTATATTCAATCCAAAGTAGTCCATGATCTGGTCCTGCCCACACATTCAGGGTGGATCTTAAACCTCTGGAGATGCCCTTACAGACATACCCAGAGGTATGTCCCCCAGGCGGTTCTAAATCCAGTCAGCTTGACAGTGAAGATTAACTATCACATACTCTGTCTCAAAATAAATAGAAAAAGGGTTGGGGGAGGGGGGCAGTGTACGGTGGTGAGATGGCTCAGCCTTGTCATCATGCAGCCCCACTCCCAGATGAACTAGACCGATTGGCTACACCCCTACTCCTGATAGAAAAGCTTTCAGTTAACAGTGACAGGTCCCTGTGGACGGTAGTGCTTTCCTACAAAAATGCCATCAGTAGATTTAAGTATTTGGGTATTTGGGTAAATGGTTGTTGATCAGACCTTGAGCAAGAGCAAAAGTGCCAGCTGCAGACACTTACCCAAGAGGTGTGGCCAGGCGAGGTCAGAGTGGGTTCAATAAGAAAGCACGGGTATCCATGGGCAGTGGAATCCTTACATGGCCTTGTACATCAGTGACTGTTGCTGCACGCCTCTAGAGTGAGTGACTCTATTGCAAGATGAAGTCCCAGGTAAACTGTTCTGCTTCTGTAACGCCCAGAAAGAGATAAAGCTAAGCAGTGCATTGTTTAAAGAACACAGCCAATAAAACTGTAAAGGAAAGTGGGAAATAAGTAGTAGAAATCTTCTGTGGGGTAGGGGTAGTGGGCACGAGTAACATTCTCTGCCTAAACTCTCGCTCTCCGGGATCCAATGCCTTAAATAGCTGAGAGCGCCTGGACTCATATGCCCCACCACACCTAGTTTAAAGTAATAAAAATAAATTTAAAAATAATAACAGAAGAAATGGAAAAAGGACTGGTTATTCTCTGGGTGAAGGGCTCAGCAAGTAAAAGCACTGACCACTTGAGTTTGATCCCCAGAACCCAAAGGTGGAAGAAGAGAACCGACTTCCAAAAATTGTCCTCTGACCTCCATGCATAGACCGTGGCATATGTGTGCCTGCACTCGTGTGCACACATACAATAATAGCAATCAAATTTTTAAAGAACTGGGTTGTTGTTTTTGGTTGTCTTTACTCTTTTGGGGGGGGTCCGCCACCCAGTTTCCAAATGAATCACACACGGAGGCTTATTCTTACTTATGAATGCCTGGCCTTAGCTTGGCTTGTTTCTAGTCAGCTTTCCTTAACTTAAATTATCCCATCTACTTTGGGGGGGTGGTGGTTCAAGACAGGGTTTCTCTGTCCTGGAACTCACTCTGTAGACCAGGCTGGCCTCGAACTCACAGAGATCCACCTGCTTCTGCCTCTTGAGTCTGGGATTAAAGGTATGTGCCACCACCACCTGGCTCCTTCTACATTTTGCCTCTGGGCTTTTCCCATTCTCTTACTTCTGTAAATCTTACTCTTACTCTGTGGCTTGCTATGTAGGTGGGTGACTGGCCCCTGGAGTACTCTCCCTTCTCTGGCTACTTCTTTTTTCCTCCCAGATTTCTCCTTCTATATATTCTCTCTGCCTGCCAGCCCCACCTATCCTTTCTCCTGCCTTGCTATTGACTGTTCAGCGCTTTATTAGACCATCAGGTGTTTTAGACAGGCACAGTAACACAGCTTCACAGAGTTAAACAAATGCAACAGGAACAAAAGTATCACACCTTAAAATAATATTCTACAACAAGTTTATTTTCAATTTCTAAATGTGTATCTACCCAACCTATACATTTGTTTTGCAGGATGGCATCAGAATTAATGTAACTACCTTGAGAGACAATGGGGAGGTGTCTGAAGAACAGGTTTGTCTCCTTTTGACTATATTTTTAGTATAGCATTTAGCTAGGAATTTTTACTAATCGTATTGGTCCATTTTCTGTTATTACAGTGAAATGCCTGAAGAAATAGCTGTGCAAGGCTGTAACTGGCCTGGTTACCCACTTTGCTAATGAAGCTGGGAATGGCAGCTCATGCCTGTAATCCCAGCACTTTGGAGGCTGAGGCAGAGGCTTACCTCAAGTTAAAAATCAGCCCGGGCTTCTTAAGTAGTGAGACTGTCTTAAGAAACCAAAATCCAAGGACTGGGAAGATGACTCAGTGATTAAGAGCACTGGCTGCTCTTGCAGAGGACCTGTGTTTGATTCCCAGCACCCACATGGCAGCTCACAACTGTCTGTAATTCTTCAGTGATGGGGTCCTAAGGGGGATGAGAAGATAAAGAAGATAGAAGAGTTAGGGTCAGGAGGTCTTGCATAAGCTCTGTCTTATGCCAAGCAAGATTATTAAGAAGTACGGTATCTTGTATGTGGTTTTTAGGAGAGAAATGGGGCAATGTCTGCAAAAATCTCTGGGAAGAATCATCTGGAAGCTAATCAAGCAATGCTTCACAAGGGAACACAGGCTATTCAAGGGTGTCGGAGGGTGGGCCTGGGACTCATAACTGTAGCCCTTTGGGATAGGAAGAGTCGGGTTCTCGGACCGGAAGCCATAGATCTCACAAGGCCCTGGCCCCAGACCATTGCTAGGTCTGCCAAGCATGCTTGCAGTTTAGAGGAACACTGTTCCTTACATCTCCATACATCAGCCTAGCCTT